ACCTCTCAAGAAGCAGAGTTCTGAGATTCCTCAGCTATGCAGAGGAATCAATTCTTGAAACATCCAAGGCCTGTTAAGTCAGAGGAACAGGACGAGAGTCCATTCTTCGATATGATCTGATCTCACATGGCCAACAAGGACAGCTTTACCACCTTCCCAGAATGGGAGAGACACCTAGCTCTGGGTAGATCTGTCTAGTGTTTTCCTGGCTGCTGACAGCTAGAACTGGCTGCAGGGCTGACTGCTCCCCTGCAGTGAATCTGTGGGAAATGACAAGAATGATCAAAAAATACGGAATAACTTCTAGACAATAAATGACTACATAGGCTAGAACTCCTCAAGTTGGAAAACATGCAAATGACACAGATTCATGAAATCCTAGCCTGGAGACTAGGTAGACACCAGAAATATACACAAAACAAGAGGAAAAGGTGTTCAGAGAAAAAGGAAAGGAGAACTACCAAAAAGAAAAAAACTAACAACAAAAAACCCTACCACATTAATCTTTTACAAGCTATTGTTGCTTTTACGACTGTGACTAGTTTGAAAAAACCTGCCTCAAAGTATAAGAAAATTACTATTTATTCAGGAGAGAAGTTACTTTTCACAGTTCTTTCTCATCCAGCATCCATAACTTCCTGCACCCATGTTCACATACATGTAGATGCTGCTGGGCTTTGCGTTCACATGGAACCCCAGCCCATATTTTGGCACACCAGCCACCAACATATGGGTGAAGTTTTGTGCCAGTGTGGACTCAAATTGCCTGAGGTTTCTTCCTTTTACCCATGCTCTCGCCTCACCCATCTGGATCCCTTTCCCCACCCACGACGTGGGGGAGCCCAGTTCTAGTTCCATCTCCATCTGAAGAACCATTCCCATGTCTTGAGGGATGGGGAAAGGGAACTCCAGGGGTTTCCTCAGGGGTTTCTGGCCCTGAGCCTGGAGGGGAGAGGTGCCCTCCTCTCCCCCCAGCACCCACGTGGCTCCATGGCCAGCACAGAGACAGCACACCGAGCATGGAGAGGAGGCAAGAGAGCATTTATTGTTGGGGATGTTACATTTATAGGGTTAGGGAGAATCACAGGTTAACCAATTAGAAGTCTCAAGGGGCTTACAGGAACACCCAATCACAGGAAGGGGTTAACAAGGGGCCAATGAGAACACCTCAGGATACATTCTTGCATGGGATAACACTTGTCCTAGGGGGTGTTGGGAAGAAGAAACACGTGTTTGCAAAGAGACCACCAAAAGCCATTTTAAGACATGTTTAAACAACAGCTTTCCCAGATAATGCAGGTTTAGTGCCACACACCCAGGAATAGAAACCTTCTTCTCAGCGGTTCTCTACACTTAACTGTTTTCTGTGTTGTGCCACTATGTGTTACTATTGAATGGGGAATACTTTCCCTTACTTCACACAGTGCTCATGCCTGCTCTGTATGACCTTCTTTTACCTAAATGGCACTAAGCCACAGATCTTAGTGGGGGCTCAAGTGGATATCAGTGTCACAAGTAACTTCTAGGGCAAGATCATAGACAGGCTGAGATTAGCTTTCAGGAGGGCAGGAGTAATGGCTCTGCTGCACATTGCACAGCAGGCTCAACAAGTTTTAGGCAAATACTAAATAATTAGGTTTAAATTTAAAAAAAAAAAAATCATGCCTAAGTAAGAGTATTTGAGAGCCCTGCTGAGATCAGGCCTGCAAGATGGGGTTGCCCTGGCCAGAGATCTTACACATAGTGTAATCTCAGAAGTCTGCAGCGAGTTGGCAATGTGAGTTGAGCTCTTGCCTAATTAGCAGATTTCTCGTTGTGCCTCAGTGGTTGCACTGCAGAGCTTGGCCACCCTCCACTAATTTGAAACATCTCAAGCTTAAAAACACTTTCTTTCTTTCCAGTTCATCAAGGCCAGCTGGAAAAGCACCTGCCAAGTGGAGAACTCACTTGCAAAGGTTCACGTCCAAAATGAGGCCTGGGACTCAGCCGTTCTGCACTACTGCCTCAACGCTTCTCACACCCGGGCTTCTTACTGAATTCAAGAGGCAAATCGGACAAAATACATATTCCATTATACCTGTACAAATAACCGTGGGCTAGCATCAGGATTTTTAATAGATCTTGCTCTCATAATTCCCTCACATGAACACATTGCAAGGCACAGGATGGTTACTCCATCCGGTAGCAGGCGCTGGGGTCTTAATTTTGTATTTTCTAAGTTTTTAGCATTTGGAAAGGCAGAGCCACCCTTTGCTAAAAACTTTACTGCTGCAAAGTGGGCAACAAAAGCCACCCTGGGAACTTCCTCAGTGATACACCTCTGCCATAAGCCAAAGGAGCAGTGCCCAGGGCTTGGGATGGCCGAGGACAGGAGAAGCTGTCCACCAAAGTGAGCTTGGCTGCAGGAAAGACTCTGACATTTCCTACAGAGATGGGTTTAATCACAGGTTTCAGAACCCAGAGCAGCACACTGGAGAGGTAAAAAGGGAGAGGTTTCATAGAGATTTGTAACAGAAATATTAAAAACGGTATGCTTAAGATTGAAGAATGAATTGAAATATTTGTATAAACACCAGAAGACACAGCAGAACAAGATTTGAATGAGCTTCTACAGCAGTGAAGAACACTGTTCCCAGTCAAACTGAGAAATTATTTATTTCCATCTAACCCAGACAGCCTGTGCTCTGACACCCAGGAGACCACAAATAATGAAGCATAGGAGCTTCCCTCAGCCAAAAAAGCATGGATGCAATTTAAAAATTATTGTATTAACTTGCAAGAGAACTGCCCTGTAAATAGAGATTGAAACCCAATCCATATGTCCTGAGCTGTCCTTTCTCATCCCTCCAAAGCTTACACTCTGCTTACTCAGTATTTTATTTCCTGTCAAGAGGAGATAGATAACAACTGAATATTTGAAATTTGTTTTATTTAAACATAATAATCACAGAAATTCTAGATAATATATGCCTATACAAAAAGTTCATTGTCAGCCAGCAGTGACAAATAGCAATAAGACATATTATTGATCATACTAGTACAGCATTGCAAATTCAAAGAATGAACTTATTCATTACAGAGGAAAATATGAGATGATGTGCAGGATCCAGGGTTATATCTAGTATCTTATATCATATTCTTCTCTTCAGTCTTGTGTGTATCTCATTTGTATAACCTGAAACACCTATAGCCTTTTGCACTTATGCTGCAGGTGGACCCTCCCCAGAACACTAAGGAATTTAAAACAAAGATGTTACGTTTTAGAGTGTAGGAGAAAGGTGGAGAAATACCACAGCAATTCATGCTGACAAACCCGTCCATTCTTGGTTCTGCCTTGGATTAATTTTCAGTGGCCACTTGTGTCCAAGTCAACAGTAAGGTAACATTTGCAGCTAAATCAGCTCAGAGTTAAATAAGACAGGAGCTGAGACTGTTGCTTAAGCAGGTAGTAAACCTGCTTTCCATGCTTAAAGAGGAAAGACAACCTACACAATCTGAAAAGGCAGAATGCAATACCTGATACTGACAGAGAAGCCTGTAGCCATCAGCTACCTGTAACCATTTGATCTGTATTTGTCTGCTTGAGTTCATGCCATGTCTAGATTGCATTAACATGGACCTATCGTAATGAAGGCTAGCTAAAACAGAAGGGGGAAAGACTCTCCGATACCTTTGTTGAAAACACTCCTACTTCTACCTGCCCAAAGTCCCTGGGGTGAAGAAATACAGACACATTCTCATTGTACTCACAAATGTGAGTTTGAAGTCAAGAAAGGTTATGCTCTGACCAAGTGCAGTCTGAAAGTAGGTACTCTGAAATCATAGAATCATAGAATTGTTTCAGTTGGAAAGGACCTTTAAAGATCATCTAGTCCAACCCCTCTGCCGTGACGTGGTTCTAATAGAACCACCTTCCACTAAACCAGAGTTCTCAAAGCCCCATCCAACCTGGTCTTGAGCACTTCCAGGGATGGGCTAAACACACCCTCTCTGGACAAAAAAGAAAATATTTTCTTCCTAATATCTAATCTAAACCTGCTCTCTGCCAGTTTAAAGCCATTCTCCCTTGTCATGTCACTACATGCCTTTGCCAAAACTCTCTCTCCAGCTCTCATATAGCCTCTTTAGGTATTGCAAGGCTGCTAAAAGGTCTCCCCAGAGCCTTCTCTTCTCCAGACTGAACAACCCCAACCCTCCCAGCACAGAAATGGCTCTGAGGATCAGATCACACAGTAGACACACACGACGTGTGCATTTCTTCAGTGTATCTGTGAGGGAATTTGAGCTTCCAGACAGTGCAGCGTCATACACAGTTACAGCAGTCATCTCTCAGTGCACCTGGTGTATGTCACCGTGCCTAATCACGCAGCTTTTCTGATTAACTTTTCCATTTTTTTCTCTCTCTCTTTTATTTTCGAATGCAGATTTTACTTGCTCCTGATTGCTTTGGCCAGGTTTATCTGGATTTAAACACTTTGGATCCAGCCAGATAGCAAGACCGACTTTAACTGCCGGATACCAAGTACTCTCTTTCCTCAGAGAAAACCCCGCCACGCTTTAACTCGGAGGCAGCGGAGGGGCTCGTGGGACGCGGGGCTGTACGAGGTGTGTGAGGAGAGGTCCCCTTTTCCCGCCTACCACGTTCATCACTGCGATGACGCTCCACAGCTCCCGTCATGCCCCGCTCCGCCCCGCCCAGCACCGCCCATGTGATGTCGCGCGTTGCCCCATGGGAGCTGTAGTCTTTGGCGGCGGGGCTGGGGTGGAGCTGCCGCAGGGCCATTCCCCTCTCCCGGCCCCAAGCGCAGGGGACCGCGCCGTCCTTGTGCCTCCTGCCCGGCGCCTCGGCCGGCTCCTGCCCCGCGTCCGCAGAGGCAACTGCGGTGTAGAGCCTCCTGGCCAGGAGGCGGTTGCAATGCCCTCTGTTAATGTTGTCTCCTCAGAGACAAGCTGGGAGCTTAAAAGAAGCGTTATAAGTCTAGATTGTGCCTTGGCTGCAAGGATGTGGCATCTCGGGTAAAGATGAGGGTATCTTTTGCTCTGGCATTCAGCCGTCCTTCTACTGCCTTTCTCAAGGTCTATTGTATTTCCTATGTGAACAGGTTTCCATGATCCTGGGGTTGTGCCAGCCAGGTGGTCAACAGCCACTGCTTATTGACTTGGCAACCTCTTCTGCACCCTACTTTCCTCCTACGCACGTGGGGAGCGAAGGTATTCTGATCCTGTAGTCCCGGGTGGGATATGTGTTAAGTGCAGGTAGAACAAGACTGTTGTGTCTTTCTGGTAATATTTTTTGCAGTTGTTCTTCTGCTGTGTTTGACTTTTATCTGGCTCTTTGCTCTTTAGGTTAGTACGTTCCTCACTTTTCTGTTATGTGCCACTTTAGGTGTATTTCTGTAAAAGGAAGTTCACAGTGACAGCCAAAAATGAAAAACGCATTAATACTAATAAAGGTTTTGTTCTCTTTAGGTACAAGCAGCTCCCCAGCAAGTGGCTGAAGACAAATTTGTATTTGATTTACCCGACTATGAAAATATCAACCATGTAGTGGTCTTCATGCTGGGAACTATACCATTTCCAGAAGGAATGGGAGGATCTGTCTATTTTTGTTATCCAGACCAGAGTGGGATGGCAGTCTGGCAGCTGCTGGGGTTTGTCACCAATGAGAAGCCAAGTGCCATCTTCAAAATTTCTGGTCTGAAATCTGGTAAGACTGGTAGAACATAGCAATTGGTGAAACAGATGTGTTCCTGTATGCATAAGGGGTAAATGTGTGAAGGTGGGTTTGAACAGCAAGCTACTTGAAAAGGCAGCCTGCTCTGTGTTTTCAGATAGTTCTGAGCAGATGTACTGGAAGCAGCCTGTCAGCTTGATGGAAGTCTGTGTGTGTGTTAATGTTCCCAGTGAAATTTCTCACTCATCTTGTGTTGTACGTGGTGTTGATCTGGAAATTTCTCTGAGCAGGTTTGACGTGTGTTTTTGTGCTTCTGCATAAACAACCTGAGAAGAAATGATCCTGTAACTTCCCTAGCATGGTTTTCAGCCATTTGTCTAGAAATACCTGCAGCATTTTTTTTCACCTTCCGCTGCTAAGTGGTTGTGTTCTTTGTAGCTCAGACAGGTTTTGTAGGGAGTAGAGCCTGACAGTGATTTCGGACAGCTAGTGTTTCCCAATCAGGTGCAGTTGCAGTATATAATTATCCAATAGAGGGTGTCATCATTGGAAAGCAGCTTTGCAAATGTTTCAGTATTTTTAGTACAGACTTGAATCAGAGGATGCTGGTGCTACCTGAAGAAGGTGTGTGTATGTTTTCCTGAATTTACGGTGGGGTTGCTATGTACATTATAAAAATGACAACAGCTTCCAATGGCACATCTTTGTCATATTAAAGGGACAGATTTGTCAGTCAGGCAGTTTAAAGTGTTATGGTGATCAAGTAGTACACATCTTCTGTGGGCTTGAGTGTAGTCTGCAGCTGTAACTTGAATCTCTGTTTAATTAAGCACTGAGGTTCCTGTGATAAAATGTATTCATTCATAAGGTAGTAGGCCTTCTTTTGAATCAATCCTGGATGTGGCAGTGTGGTATCAGATCAGGGCTCTCAAGCTGCAGAGCAAAATGAATTCTGATCATACACATTCCTCAAAATCTGGGCTTTCGTCAGAAGAGAGAGCAACCATAGGAAAGTTTTGGGAGGACATGGTTTTGTATATCCCAAAGTTGTGTGGTTAGTGAAACAGCAAAGCATATCACTGGTGCTTTTGCCATATGTTTCTCGTGCTTGAAAGACTGTCAGACAGCTTTGGAGGAAAATGCATTTTTAGATGCTTTTTGCGTGATTAGCTTTAATTTCCAGGCAAGGGCTGCTCTCACAGAAGAATTCCGTGATGTAGTTGGATGCATTTGCAGGGCCTTAAGACAGTGCTGTGCTTAATCTCTGTGAAAGCTCTGCCATTCCAGTTGTTGTCTACAGCTTATCTCTGTCTGTGGGGTCAGTATAAGCTACATGGTCTAAGTGTCCGTGGCCATAAACAATTTTGTGATGGAGAAGACTACATGATTGTAGAAAGGGAGAGATATCCCAGAAAGGGATAACAGAGAGCTAGAATCATTGAGAGACATTATTAACACTTGAAATCTGCATTTTTTTGAGAGGAACGAAGCTGTGTCCCTGTTTACCAGCTCCCTCTGAAGCAGTGATTGTAGCAGAGTTTCTTGTTGTGGGATGAGTTTTGTTTGTTTGCACATAAAGAAGGGGCTTAGAAGTACTCCCTGCCTTGGAATTGTAAAATTGTTTGTTGTCTAGTTGTGCCTGAAGGCGTGGTAGAAATAGAGAACAAACTTTGGACTTGGATTTTGCACCCTTATGGAAGGTTGTTGACAAGTGGGATTAAAGTTACAGGACAGCCTTTTCCATTACAGACTTTGCTATGCATGCAATGAAGTGCGTGATGCTCTTCATGCTCTAATGTGATATCTGCATTTGAGGCCTACACATGAGTAAGGTTTTTGATGTGGCTGGGCTGAAAGGTAGCGAGGGCTCCCTATTTTGAATCAAGCAGTTGCTCTGCTGTGACAGAGGGTTTGACTGTGAAAACCTGAGCCTGTGTTTCAGTACCGATTAACAACGTGCTGTGTTCTCTGCATTTGTAAGGCATGGAATGCTAATCATGAGAGCCAAGCATCGAAAATGTGGAGTGTATTTCAGTTGTTGTAAGGATGGCAGTGGATGCTTTTATTTCACTGTTTTAGGCAGAAATCTTTCGAAGGAAGGGGTTCCACTGGAGTGCATGCCAAGTGACAGAGTGGATGTATTTTATTGTTTAGATCATGACTGTCTTTTTAAATTACATATTTAATAGAGCCTGTTATATGTTATATTTTTATTGTAAATGTCAGCTTCTGAGGTGAAGATATTACAAGATGTAAAACTAATACCAGCTCTCCTGTTTTGGGGATTTTTAATAATGAATTTGTGTGATATTTGGGTTCTGGTAGCTTTTCTCTTTTTTATAATATTTAAGTAGATTTTACCTTTATCAAGCAAGCATCTATCACTAGTAAAGGTTGAGATTGTACAGCAATGACATTTCTAAGAAGAGGTTCTAAATAGCATTTCAGGAGAATAACTCTTCTTACTGGCCTTGTGTTAAAGTAACATTTTAATAGCGAGTGTTTTACCCATAAATGTAGCACTGTATTGCAGTTGTAGGATCTGGAGTGAGGAGTAGCACTTGGCTTCAATTGAAAAGGATTCTGTGTTTGTGAATGTACTTAACATATGGTTTGGCTGTTGGCTTCTTTCTGGTAGTGCCTTGTGTCTCTGCATTAGAATGGTCAAGTTCCTGAGATCTTTGGTCTTGAGCTTCAGTTCAACTGATCTGGATGAGTTTTTGACCATGGAACTAAGTCAGATGGTGCTTTAGATTTCTGTTAGCCTTTCTTGCAGCTCAATATAGTGTTGACTGGTCTGTAGGACAGCCCTTGATTAGCTCTTGATTAGCTTTTCTTTCTCCTGCTAGTAAGGGACCAAAGACTGCTAATGGACCATCACCTGTGTTAAGAGGGTACTTGTCTGTTATGTTTGCACAAACTCAGGTGGAGTATTAGTGTTTGTGTACTAATAGCATTGTGGTCCCACAGACCTTTCTCCTGCATTTTCCTTTACAGGTGCTGACAGAAGAGTACATGATTTAAGTGACTAAGTGTCTGTCCTCGTTTGCAGATTTAAGTGATTCTGTCTGTCCTTGTTTGCAGAGACCTTGGCTGAAGCTGGGACTGAAAGTATGGGTTGAGAAAGGTCAGAAGTGAGGGCAGGGGTCTGGGATGATGCCTCTGTGAGTGGCAGGCAATTTGGGGGTGGTTTCCTGCCCAGTTCATTGTTTACTTTGTGGCACTTGCGAAGTCAGAGGTCTTTCTGTTCCACGGCTGTTTCTTTGACCTTTGCTTTTTTGGTGATTTTGAGGAGCTCAGGTGAGACCTGGGGCTGCCCAGCCCTCCCTGAGTCAGAGAGATCTTGAAGTAGTGTTCTCTACTTCTTCAGAGCACGAAAAGGTTCACAGAACCCTGTGTTTCAATGAGTGAATTAAACAATTGTGCAGCAGTGCTGCATGTTTCCTGTTTATCAGCAATTGCTACAATGTGAATGAAAGGCTTGGTTCCCATAGAGAAAGGTTCTGCTGCCTTTCAGATCGTATTTTCTCTTGAATCCATTTACTTCATAGGGAGCTTTCAAGTTATGTTTTTATGTTTTTTTTGAAATTTCCTTATGATCTGTTGTGGTTTTTAAATGTACCAGTCACACTGTTCCATCTGTTGTGCTTCTGTGTACTTGTGCCTGTGTGGTGTTTCTCTGTGTTTCTGAGATAGGGAGATTTCTCTGACAGGAGCTGAGGAATACCTTTTACAGAAGGAACACGGTGATTTAAGTTCCACAGTCTTTACATGTGTGCCAAATCTAACATGTGCTGTCCGTGGTGCTTTCAGGGAAGGGAAGTCAACATCCCTTTGGTGCCATGAACCTCCCACAGACGCCAACAGTGGCCCAGATTGGAATCTCAGTGGAACTGCTGGAGAACCTGGCCCAGCAGACTCCTGTTGCAAGTGCTGCTGTGTCATCAGTAGATTCATTCACAGAGGTAGCTTGGACATTCTGTTTTCAGAAATTCTCTGTACTATGGAAGTCTTAAGAATTGAGACTAATGGGGGGAGGAGAAGCTGCCGTGGGTGGCTGTAGGATTGAAACCAACCTAATCATTGTCAAGTCATTTGGCTGGAAGATTTAATATTTTGAAGTTACTTTTTCTTACACTGAAAAACTGCCTCCTGTAAAGGATTGGAATTTGCATGCTCAGTGTCATCAGGCCAATAGATTTATTTGTGTCAGTGTCACTCTGCTATAAAATTATTTATGATACTTCCTAAGAGGAGCAGCTATGACTAAATACATGTAAGAGACAGTGGATCTTTGGTCAGAATCAGAGAATACTCTGAGTTGGAAGGGACCCAGAAGGACCATTGAGTCCAGCTCTTAAGTGAGTGGCCCATACAGGGGATTGAACTCATGGCCTCGGTGTTATTACCACCAACTCTTAACCAACTGAGCTAATCTCAGGGTCATTTATAGGTGCTGAAACTCCAGTGCATAGACTTGCAGGGATGGTCAAAACTTACTAAAAGTCAAGGCAGAGCTGGACATAGACACAAATAGATATCCAAGTGTACCACTGACCCTTGAGAAATCCTTCTGATGTAGCTCTGCAGAACTACAGAATCATGCCCTCCCCCACAGAAAGATTTTTCTTTTTTCCAGTTCTTTCTCTGTGGATCAGGCCTTGCGCTACAACATGTGCCATTTTTTTACTCAGCCTGTTAGTTTGAACCTCTGGAAATCCACAACCAGCTCTGGCAGTTAGTTGACCGTCTAACAGCAGTTCAAGGCAAGCTAGACCTGCATGGTGGGTCATGATTTCCCTAACACTGACAGCTCTGGCATTATCTTTTAACATATCAGCAGTTGGTGAGGCTTTTCTTCAGGCCTTTTTTCCTTTCTCACTTTCCTTCCAGGTTGCTGAGGTAGACTGGTAATTGGAACAGTAATCCTGATACTGTAGCTGATGTTCTTTTGCAGTTTATATACATTATAGCTGCAAATAGGTGATGTCTCTTGGAGAAAATTACCATGACTAGGAGTTGACCAACAGCTATGTTTGTATAGTACAGTTAATTGAGCTTTTCTGGAGTTGTTAGGGGCATATGGCATCTAAATATTTCTGATTCACCAATTTGCATTAGAGCAGTAGTTAAGTCATGAAGTAATAATGTGACCACTTCAGGTCATTTGCAAGGGTGCTCATAGATTTTTCTGAAAACAGTATTTAAAGAAAAAAACCCACCTCATGATTGCATAACATTTTTACAAATGTTATTTTCAGTTAGGTAGATTTTTCTATTAAAAGTAGCATCTTAACTGAAATCATATATTGCCTTCAAGAAATGCACTTGACCCAAAGGTTTAAGTAATAGTTATTCCTATAGAGAAAATGCATGATGTCAAAGTTGAAGGAAACCTTTGAGGGAGTAGATTGTAGAGGAAGGGCATATATGACTGGGAGCATGTTTGTGAATGACTAATGGCTTTCATTTAATATTTAACATCATCTGTTTGAAACTGCTACATTATAGCAATAAAAGTATCTTTTTAAAGGCAAAATCATCTGTTGCTAACCTAAGTTAAGGAGTTGCTCTCCCACTACATTTCTAGTAAGTTTCATGAAGATTTATGATTGAATATGCCGGTTTTTAATTATGTGTAGTTATATATAAAAAGGTTGTTTGGAAAGTAGAACAAAACTATAGAGTTCTGCATGTGAGTGGGGTGAGACTGAGTGTTGGCTCCTGGGACATCATTTCTTCTGCTCCTTTTGTCAGAGCAGGTGGAGGGAAGCACAAGACTGTGCCTGTATTGACTCAGGTTCAGTTTTCCTGCATCATTTCACTGCATTCATTTTCTATGAAAATGGCCTGTTCTCCCATCAAAATGCATAGCTTTTTTTTTTTCTAATAAAAAGAATAGGGGAAATAAGGAAGTACTGTAAACTTGTGTATTTATAGACTGGCTGGGAATGTCCTACAACCTCAACCTCTGCATATGGGACTTGCTATTTCTTGGCCTCTCTTTCACTCTTGTTTCCTTATCCTACAGTTTAGGAGTGTCCTGTGTATCTTTTTCATGTTTTCCCCTGCAAGATTTTGTGGCGAAGGATGTCGGGATAGCAGTCCTTCTGTGGTGAATGCTGAAGGAAATTGCCCTGTCACTGGAGTCTGATGAGTTGTAACGAGAGAAACTGCAGAATTTTCAGCTGGTTTAACAACTAGTGTTGTGCTGGTAGCTGGAATGGCAGCACTGACCTGGTCTGCAGGTCTTCTGATGGTTTAATTTGGCAGAGAGGGACAGCTCTTGTCACTGCATCACTTCTTTTTCACAAACAGAAAATGTTCTTTCCCAGAGCTGTTTATCCAGTTGGATGAAATAGAGAAGGGAGAGGGCAAGCAGAGATACTGAAAATCGTTTATGGATACTGGATGTATCTGAGGGCAAGACTGAGAATTAAAATGCTTTGATCAATTTAAAATGGATGTCCCTGGATCTACTTTATCCACTGTCCAATTGTGTTTTAAATGACAATACTAATTTTACTTCATATAGGAATTATGTATCTGTTAAACATTTGCACAAAAGTTCAAAATGAAAAAAATAACTTCCTTAAAATGTCCTTTTTTTTATTTCAGTTCACTCAGAAGATGTTGGATAACTTCTATAACTTTGCTTCCTCGTTTGCTGTTACTCAGGCACAGATGACCCCAAATCCTTCTGAAGCTTTCATTCCGGCCAATGTAGTTCTGAAATGGTAATGGCAATGATCTGTAGTAGGCATTATTAAAACATCTGATTTCTAAGTGTTGAACTACTGTTCAATGCTGTTGAACACTGTTCAATACTATTGTTCAAACTACTGAACACTGCTGTTCAGTGAGATGAAGCAAAAATGTTTAAAAAGTGTTTGTTCTTGGTTATCTCTAGTATAGAGAGGTCCTGTCCACTGTTTTTATATTTAATTGTCAGCTTTTTTATTAGAAAAGTGCTATACAACCTATGAATTCTTTTTGCTTCTAGAAATGTTGCCCTTGATATATGTGGATTTGCACTCACTTATTGGTATTGCAAACGCTCTGGAGTTGTGGGAAGATGGAGCACACTGATACTTGTCAATTTGTGCTTACTTGTTATATTTAGTCTCTTCCTAGACGTAGCTGCAGCATAGGTGCATTATTTAAGAATATGTGAGCGATGGAGAAATCATGTTCCTAGTTGACCTGGTTCTGTCACCAAGACCCTTGAGTGTAAATACAAGTTTCTCTGAGAGTTGTTTTCCGAGGACTGGTTTAAGAAATAACTGTCTGGGAATATCCGGTGTAGTCTAGAGATAAATAGTGAACTGCAAGCAGTCCTTGAGGATGTCTGAAAATTTCCTTCCTATCAGTTTGGCTCTATTTAGCCTCTATAGTATTAACCTCATTTGATTTTACTAAAACGTTACCATATATAAAGTATGTGGAATTTAGAATTACTTGGCGAGGATGGAAAAGTAATGGGGACTCCATTGTCTCAAGGTTTCTGTTAGAACTGCAAGGCAAATGGATGCACAGCCTGAGTGTGGAATTGCCTTCCTTACCTGGGAGCAGGGTGCACAGCCTATGAGGAAGCAATCCGGAATTGCAGGCTGTGGTCTCTGTGCCAGCCTGCTCAAGTCTGTCAGGCACGTTAGCTCATCTCCACTGTCCTAGGAAATGAGAGGTGCTAAGCTGGCTCTGTGCATCCTAGATGAAGAAGCGCTGAAGGAGTAGTACAGGGACATCTGAACTGGATTCAGGAGGATTGGTGTTGCCTTGTTTTTCCCAGTATTACAGTGTATCCCTAAATGACATCATGTTTTCTTAGTTTGGTTTTACTGGGGTTTTTCTGTGAGATACCTGGCCTGATTATTAAGATGATGAGCAGCCTCAGATTCACACTTGTACCTGCCCCAACTTTGATTTCCTAGCCCAAAAAATATTATGCACAAAACAACTACTTTTAATTCATGGAATTGTAGAATTCTTTAGGTTGGAAAAGACCTCTAAGATCGAGTCCAAGCATTCACCTAATGCTGCCAAGTCCACCATTAAGCTACATCCGTAAGCCCACGTCTACATGTTTTTCTGCCACTGTCAGGGATGGTGACTCCACTATTTCTCTGGGCAACCTGTTCCAGTGCTTGACAACCCTTTCCGTGGAGAAATTTTTCCTAATATCCAATCTAAATTCACTTACAATTTTATTAAGCTTGAATGAGCCTCCTCTGGGATACTGCTTTAATGAAATACATCTTGTTAAATACACAAGTATATCTGTGAATATTCTTGATATGGAATTGGAAAGGAGGATTTGGGATTTACTAATTTGCTGATGTGGAATAGATGTATTTTATCGTGTTCTCTGCATAGACTGATTGTTTGTATCCTTAAAAAAAAAAACCACAACAATTTTATAAGCAGCAGCTGTTATTTTGGGGGTTTTTTTTGTTCTTTTTCTAGGTATGAGAACTTCCAGAGACGTCTGACACAGAACCCTCTCTTTTGGAAAACCTAAGCATAAATTCTGTCATTTGAAGTTCTTTCTGACCAGTGTTACCTGAAAGATGCATCAAGTAACTGAAGATTTTTTGGGTGGAGAGAGAACCAAACAATGATTAGTCTGAAAGACAAAGTTGGAACTTTTATATTACTCTTGAACAGTATTTAAAATTAAAATCAATGAAAATTACTTGTCTGCATGTTGGTTCATTTAATTGAAGTACTTGGCTGCAACAAATCAGTGTTCTATGTGCATGCATAGAAGTATTTTTTTGAAACTGCATTTGAAGTGGAAAAAATTACAAGATAAAAAATGGCAGCACTGTGTCATAATTGTGTGGTATTTTGGGGTGCTGGAAACAAAACAAATGCAGTTTTTCCTTCTTTACCTCATTCTGAAGGGTGATCATGCGACTGAGAATATGCTGATGGTTTTCCTGCTGGTACTTGCACTGTAAATGCTTTCACTTTGTGGACAGCCAATATTCCCGTCCCCAGCTCATATAAATGGTACAACAGTATTTCCCTCTTTGGCAGTAAGACACTACTGAGTTTGATCTCGGAGTACCTGTCCTTAACTTTTCTTATATGAAAGTTTAATGAAGAGGAATCTTCAGGAACCTTGGCTATTCTAGAAGAATTATTCCCACTAATTAGAGTGAAATCTTGTTTCCCTTTGAAACAGATGTGGAGTGTCTGATAATGCTGCTAGGAGTGGTTATTGGCCCCAAAGGCTGTCACATCTGCTCATAACTTCACAGGATTTTGGGCCGGTCATAGTAATTCTAAGGAGTGCAGTTTCAGCCCGTGAGATGTCTACAGCCAGATGTGCCCAGGTATCTCACAAGTGAGCTCCAGCTGGCCCTTTGGCTCACTAGACCTAGATTAGCTTGATCAGAAATACTGTTTTGAAGAATGTATCCTGCTTTTGTAAGTTACTTTCTGTAACTAAGGCCCATTCCCAAACCACTGGCATGAAAATAAAAGTTTATATTGGCTCCAGTGAGCGGAAACTGAAGCCTTTAAGGGTCCAGTCAGCCTTAGGTTGACAATTGTCCAGAGAATGGAAACGCCCCTTTGATGCTTTTGAGCCTGCTTGAGGATATGTCCTGAGTTCACACCTCAGCTGAAAATGGACTCTTCCCTTGCATAATAGCTGTGGAGCTCACCCCAGGGCCTCAAGGCAAAAAGGGCATGAGCTCAACCTGGGGGTCAGAAGAGGAGGAAAACAGAAGATTGATGAAACCCAGGAAAGATGTGTTAAGAACAACCTTTAGAAAGTAAAACTAATTCTATCCCAGGTAATTTACTGAACAAAGCTCAGGGTTGTTTCCCAAAAGCCATGTCACAGGCCCAAGCCCTGAAGAACTTGATCTCCTGCTCAACCAAAGGCTTTTTTAAAGACACATTTGTAGTTCATATGTTCATGGAGCAGCAGCAATGAGGGAAGTTAGCAGAGGCCCAAGCTGAACTCCCTACTCAGAATGGGTCATTAGGATCATTCTGTGTGACCTGTCAACTTCTGCTGTAGGGTACTCCTTGTTGCAGTTTTCTACAGCTCTCATTATCTGACACAGTTTGGTGAAGAACGAGCCATATAACCTACAGGTATATAAACCTAGGGGCCCTGTTTGGCTAGAGGCTGTCACCCTGAGCTGTAGTAACAAGCTACTTCTGTTCTGACCAAAACTGTATTCTGGTTATGCCATGATGCTGGTGGGATTGTTGTTTGGGCTTCATGAAGCCACAGCTAGACCATGTGGGTGGGATGACTAAGTCCAGCATGAGCTCTGTGACTGCTCTTGCCTCAGCTCCAGTCATCAAGGCTGTGAAAGCAAACACGTATTTATATGGATTTTGAATATTTCAACAGTGTGTATCAAGAACTTCTCCCACTGCTGTAGCCACTGCAGGTTGGGCAGTTGTCTGAGCTTACTGAATGTGGTACATGCTTGAGAATATCACTGGAAATTACTTTTCTTTCCTGCTGTGGCTGAGCTCACAGATCAGAAATTCATGGAGGGAAAGACTCCATCCCCCTTCCATATCAGAAAGGTGCCTTTCAAAACTGCTACAGAAGTAAGAAGTGATTAATTTCTACAGGTTGTAGGGATGGCCGAACTGCTTCTCAAGCACTTTTTCTTTCTCATCTGTGAGGCACATGATTATGGTGGGTTACTGCTGAATTCCACCAGTTATGTGAGATCCCATAGTGTGATCATGATGTAGGATGCTTGAGGAAAACAGGCATGCAGTTTATCTAAGAAAATTTATTGTAAGAAAACGCCAGGGTCTTGTAACAGCACGTTTTTATCATTTCTAGTTCTGCCTGATCAATTTGGCATTTGGTTTCAGCCTGCCAAACATCTTTCTGTGTGGATTCAGCATCCTCGTGAGGTAAGGTCAGAGACAGGCAGAGGAAAGGAGCAGCACCTGAAAGCCTGAAGAGGAATGGGCTCACGGACTCTCACTCCTGTGAGATCCCAGGGAAGGATCTGTTTCTATAGGTATGTAGCTCCCAACAATACTTATTACCTCAACACAGTGGTTTTAAAATGGGAGAAAAATATTATATAGAAGCATCACAGTGCCCAGAGAAAAAAATAAAGCAAGCAACAAAATGCATATATTGCTGCTGGTTTACACAGAACCAGATGTGAAATTTATGGCAAGTAGTCAAAATTCTAATTATGCTGAAGATTTTTTTTGTACTTTCTTTTTTTTTTTTTAAAAGTTGCTTCGTTTCTTTACTGCAACTGTTTTCCTGGCACACAGTGCCACGGTGACATTAAACATTCTGAGGTGAACCTGAATTTCTCTGCAGCACTTGCAGAAGAAGTTAATTTCTTGCCTTTTAGCCATGGAACTAGAGCTCCCAAATACAATCAGGGATGAAACACCAGCATGAAACACACTAAAGAAAACACACACTCCTACATATACTAAGAAGGACAAAATTCAATCCATATCTGCATGAAATTCTTTGGCTTAAAATTAAAAGCCTCAAGAAGAACCCGATTTAAAACTACATCGTGGTAACGTTCTTTATTCAGTCACCACCAGATGGAGTAACACGCCAGGAAACAGGCCCTCAACCTCTGAGGCAGAGACTCAACCACTGAGTGAACAATCAGGAACCTGTTTTCTAGTTCCACCTGTGGTACAAACCTTCTTGCTGCCTCTGTGCAAAGTCTCTTCCTAAAAGTCAGGACTGTAGTCCAAGCCTAATATTTATCCAATTTCTAAGTTTCTGAAAGTTGGTTGAATAAGACAAGGACCTCCAGGTACTTCTTCAGCTTTTTTTTTTTTTGGTTAAGGGATGAAAGACAAATCGCTTCAGAGATATTCAGTGTGCAATAACTGACAGGATCAGCAACTTTCAAATTTTATTGTGCTTTTCATGCAGAGTTCATAAAGAACAGACATCTGTAACACTTGCAGCCTCCTGAAACGGCTTCCTGACTGTATTGCACAGCCTGACTTTACCTCTCCCTCACCTGCCTTCAGATGGGAAACAGAAGAAGTCTATTACAGAATTTGTCAAAGAACAGAACTGCAGGTGGCCTGCAGACAATGGGGAAGAACATATATTCTTCTGGGCTATTTTTGGTAGGTTTCTCCAATATTAGGGTTAAACCATACTTCTTTTGCTGAAGAATTTTGGCACTGGAGCTCTCAAGGTATGTTCCACAAAAGCATATATTAAAAAGTGAAAAGGTTTTGGAAAATATTAAACTCTTCTTTAAATTCTTTTTATGATTATAATGATTATAACTAATAGTTCTGTATCTTCCAGAAGACACAGAATAAATTTTACTTTTTCTCCTTTTTTTCAGTCTAGAACCTAGGCAACTCTAGAAAGAAAACACCCCAGTGAAATAAATACACAACTTTTATGTTCACTTGAGCTTTATGAGTCTGCATGTTGACAAAGAGGTTTTTTCCCCTTGTTGTGTATCTTATTGATATTATTAATCCTAAAAGCAGATGGGGCTGACTGTTGTAAGGGAGAATTGGCCTGTTACAGCTCTACTTTTACAAGTTCTTCTTTTCATTAACACTTTTAATCTGATTTCAGCTCCATTCAGGTTTCTCAGGGCAAAGCTGCTGGAACATTTGTCTGCATTTTAAGACAGCAGTCTTCAGCACATTCGTAAGTTAATAGAGAAGTTAAAGCTGACTCTAGCTGTGATAGGCCTCTCACCAGTCAAGCACCACCCTTCCTTTCCTTCCTCTCAAACAGAGCAGCTCACTTGTCAGAACGTACCACTTACATACCAAAATAACAGCCATGGCTGAAAAATCCCTACTGCCTTTGTATTCCATTTCACTCACAACCATGGACATGGGAAAACACAAAAGACTGAGTCTAAGGGCACACTACCACAAAGCATTTGCAAAGGCTAAAGGGTACCAGCCTCCACCCCCAGTGTTCTTAGTATAGTTTAGGTCACCTATCAAAGTTCTTTCCTTAAGGCTGCAGGAAGCCTGAACACTCCCACTGCTTTTCTGCAGTGCTCTCTCAACCCCACCCCCAGCCCCATAATGTCTCAGACTGCCAACCCCACATACTTTCCACAGAATGAACTATGAGGTACATGCTGCATAAACACTGGTTCATACTGTGCCAGCAGTTCTGGAGCTGCAGTAGAACTAAACATTTTCTCCAAGCTCCAGTCTCACCTGTATACCTCTACAGCTAATCGGTGTTCCAACTCTGCAGGAATTTCAGTTTCCTCCCTTCAGCACTCAGGCTTTTACCTGTTTTTGCCCATCTCTGTGGTTTTACACTTGGCTTCCTGATCATGTTCCCTTAGACTAGACAGTCATGGGCACAAGGAGGAGCATGCTGGAACTTGGTTTGTGCAAGCAAAATAAGGTCCAGAATCCAGCTCAGTTAAACACTAGTTTTGGACAGAGCTGTGGTACTACTGCAAGTCCCCAGTAGCAAGGCCAAGGATTTAAAAGAGGGGAAAGAAAAAAAAAAAGGGAAAACAATCATGTATTACAGATTAAAAACTTGTAAACTACTTGCCAGTTCTGGGCTTCATTTTTTGCAGGTTCCCAAGGACACAAATCAAAACTGGCTTAGTCATATTACTTCAAACTGAACACGTAGTTAATCTAAACAGAGTATTTACAAACCTCCCAAACTGTAACAAACAGGAAAAAGCAATGTCCTGAAAGATA